CACACACACACACACACACACACACACACACACACACACACAATTAGAGAGGAGAGGAGAGATTGAGCTGTTCTCAACTAAAGAGACAAGAGGATGAAAGTGATCAGAGCCCAGTGGGGGTTTTTAAAACTCAGCATGACAATATGAGCATGAAAGAAAGCTTCTAAAACACCTGACTGAACTGGAGTGACACTGTGTTTCATACGTTATTCTGTCTTCATGGACGTGAGGAACACTTCATTTACCAGTAAAGTAAAAAAAAAATCAACCCATCTTTAAGCAGCTGCTTTTTACCTTTCTGCCTTAAAAACTTGAAACATTTTATTCAAAACGTTGAACTACCCTTTCATTGTACTTAGAAGGTTTTTACTTTGACACCTTAGATACAGCCTTGAAAGATAGAGCTGATTCCTTTCTGATTGCTGTAATTATGTTATTCTTGAAAGGCAAATAGAAACATATTCTGAACTCTGAAGCAGTTGGAAAAGTAAATTCTGAATGTGCAGCCGATCCCACCGCATAGCACATTCTGCACCTTTATTAATCATAACTGTGTTGCGGCAGCAAATCCAGCAGCAAGTGTGTTCATACTGTATATAGGAAATCCTGCCTGCTTCACTTCTGCAAGGAGCTTAGTTCACACAGCTGATCCAGCAAATTACTGTGCGGGTTGGATGGTGGATAATTCCCATGATACAACAGTGAGTCGCCATATTTTACTGTATATACTGATGAAATGTGAGTCAGGTTATTGCTACACCAGTTCACATGTATTGCATCTTTAAACAGTGGTGGGCACCAGTCCGCTGAAGTGCAAATCCGCTAATTGCGGACCGAAATATTTCATTTGCTCTTTAGCTGTCTTACTAATTTTTATAATTCATAAGCAGATTTACGCTTTCTAAAATTAAAATGCAGTACTGCTAATAACTAATTATTTACCAGTCATTATTATCTTGAACAGCAGAAGGTATGGCTGTCAATGAATCACAACACACATGATCTATCCAACAGCAGCCCTCCCAGATAAACACACTTATTGGAAATGTATACATCCTTGCTGACTGTTGCTTTAGGCCACAGTTCTCATTTCCCACAATGCTTTGTGTCTGCTTACACAGGAAGGCAGTGTTTAGAACTCCCTTTCCCAGTAAAAACAGTTAACGTTTGTAATCCATACTAAAATTTTGTAAGTATTGATTTATTTTACTTTACAATCGGAGCTCCTTTTTTAAAAATAAAGTTTGAAGGCTGGAGCTCAATACTTGAGGTAATTGGTCAAAGC